GCTTGGCTACCATGCTGGTATTCCTGTTTGCTTCTCCAAAATGGGGGAAATGTGAAGTGAGGGGTGAACTGTGAACATCTGGCCCTTCTTAGCGGCGTCTTCAACTCCAAACTCCAAAAGAATATTTTGCGCATTTCAAGGGAAGCTGGGGACTTCCGAGTGGGCCATGTTAAAAACCTCCATTGTGGAAAAGGTTGCTTGGCGAAGGTTGTTGGTGCCTGTTGTGGCAGCAACCTTAGAACCTGTTGGTGGACACCAACGATGAAGGAGGCCGTCAATTTTTAATTTAATTTTTTAATTTTCAAGCTTAAGAAGGAGGCTTTTCACGATTAGTTTGGCCCAGGCGTCTCAGGAAATAGTAGGCAGAGACAGTAGAGCCGCATCTGCGGTCACCAAAGCAAAAACCTGGGTGTGAGATGAGTTCAGGGAGACTATGGAGAAGGACTTTTGGTCAGCCTCAAGGAAGTTCTGGCAAACCATGAGCCAACTCAGAAAGGGAAAGCAGGTCTTGGCTCAGGCTGTGTTCAGCAGGGGAGGAAAACTGCAAACCCGGAATGGGAGCATTGTCGAACGGTGGAAAGAGCATTTTGAGGAACTCCAGAACCCAACCAACACGTCCTCCATTGAGGAGACAGAGTTTGAGGATTCGGGGGAAGACTCATCCATACTCCTGGCAGCAAGGCACCAGTGGTGGATAAGATTAGCCCAGAGATGCTAAACTCTCTGGACATTGTTGGGCTGTCTTGGCTGACACTCCTCTTCAGTGTTGCATGGAGGTTGAGTACATCTGTGAAGTGGCGGACTTGGTGGGTGGTTGTTCCCATTTTAAAAAGGAGGACCTGAGCGTGCGCTCCAATAATCGGGGTATCACAATGCTCAGCCTCCCCAGGAAGGTTTGTTCTAAGGTGCTGGAAAGGAGACTCGAACCGATTGTCCAACCTCAGATCCATGAGGAGCAATACAGAATCTGGACTGGCTATGGAACAGTTGACCAGCCCTTTACCCTTGCAGGGCTGTTGGAGGGGTCATGGTAGTGTGCACATCCAGTATACATGTGGGTACCGGGGTTGTTGATACGAGCCACCTGGTCCTTGTATAACCAAAGTAAGAGTTGTGTCCGTAAACAGATTTTCATGGGCAGGATCTGAAGGTGCAGCCGGGTGAGTTTGGGGACCTCAGAATTGCATCTTTGCAGATGATGTGGTTTCCGGCATGCACTGGGACAGTTTGCTGCTGAGGGTGAAGTAGTCTGTATGAGAGACAGTACCTCCAATTCTTTGGCCATGGTTGTCTGCTGGTGGATTGTGCCTTCCAAGTTGGGAGTGAAACATTGCCCCAAGAAGGGCAGTTTAAGTATCTTGGGGTGTTGTTCTCAAGTGAGGGTAAAAAGGAGCAGGAGATGAACAGGCAGTTCAGGGTGTTGTACTTATTCATGGTGAAGAGGGAGTTGAGCCGGAAGGAAAAGCTCTCCATTTACCAGTCAATCGACATTCCGATCCTCACCTATGGTCATTAGCTGACTGAAAGAATGGTGGATCGATACAAGCGGCAAAATGAGCTTCCTTCATAGGGTGGCTGGGCTCAGCCTTAGAGATAGGGTGACGAGCTCAGACATCCAGAAGGAGCTCAGAATATATCCGCTGCTATTTCGTGCCGAAAGGAGCCAGCTGGGGTGGTTTGAGCATCTGATCAGGATGCCTCTTTTCGACACCTCCCTTGAGGGGTTTTCCTGTCACATCCAACTGGTAACCCCGGGTTAGAGCGGAGAGATTATATATCTTGTCTGGCCTGGGAAAGCCTCGTCGTCCCCCAGGAACTACTCGTTCACTGCTCACTCTAAAAAAGACACAAGCAGTGTTGTATTTTAGTTAAGGCTGTAGGCTAATGTCATTATATTTTACATTTGAAGTTTCTATTGAGGTTTTTGGATGTAGCTTCGAAGGTCTGTCGTCATTTATGATGACTCTATAAAAAACTAAATGGAACAAAATTCTGATTAAATAAGTCAGTCATTTTAAATATACTTTTTTAATGAGTATAACCTGTCAGTTTAGTGTGAGTTTTGATAACCAGCCCTAACAGGTCCTGTTTGAGCATGTGTGTATTTCAGAAATATTAGAGGATGTCATGGTTCAGTTCATAACCAGGTTAAGGAGTTCCGTTTCTTTGTGACCTCGGTACAGCGGGTTAAAACAAATTGAATTCATTTATTTTCATTTGTTTTTAATAAAAGTAGCACATTAGTGCAAGTGTCTAACACGGACAAAATCTTCTTGCTGAGAACTGAGGTTGCATTTTGCCGACTTGCATCTTCTCCCGAAAGGCAACAGGTCATAATAATCTAAGCATCTCCCATGCTTATTGAATTGGGTTATTTTTTACTCATCCGGGTTATTTGGGTGATGCAATCAAATGTGGGATAGCAAGTTGGATGTGTTTCCATTCATATTCCCTTAAATGGTGGAGCCAAACCAACACACCATCCTTGTTTTATACACAACTCCATTGCTGTTGTAGCCAATTGAGTCTTCCAGCTCTGTCATTTCATTTGTACTCTTCATAGTGGGACTGACTTACACGCCAATCATCCCATTGAGCTAATTGCAGCATGTATCGGCGAGCAATTCATTTCCCCTTGAGTGATTCATAAATGATACCTTCTTTCATCTTTCTTAGTTGGTGTCTCTCCTTTTGTCAGGAGACCCTGAGGTGTTAAACTCTTGAAATTTCAGGTTTCCCAGTACCCTAAGTGGACTTCCAACACAGACAATATAAGGACGAAGGCCCAACAGAGGATGTACTTCCTTTTCTCAGAAAGTTCAACCTGCCTCAGGAGCTGCTAACACAATTCTACATTGCAATAATTCCGTCTGTTCTCTTCACATCCATCACTGTGGTTTGGATCCAAACAGGACCGGAACAGACTACAACGGACAGTCTAGACTGCTGAGAAAATCATTGGTGCCAACCTGCCCTCAGGATTTATACACACCTCCAGAGTCAGGAAACAGGCAGGAAACATCCCTGCAGAACCTTCACAGCCTGGACACAACCAGTTTAAATGTCTCCCCTCTCGAAGGTGCTATAGAGCACTGTACGCCAAAACAACTAGACATAAGAACAGTTTCTTAACCCAGGCCCTCTCCCTGATGAACACAACATCAGTCACAGGATGTCAATAACCCTCGAACACCAACATTTCCACTGCTGCCATTATAGATTATAATCTCAGTTTAAAATGCACAATTTAATATATACATATCATCTGTCACTGTCAGAGACATCTTTACATGCACATACTGTACATAATCATCCAGTCTGTGTATATCCTGTCAGTATTTATTTCTTTGCACTATTTCTTTTGTTTACAATTTACAGAACACTTATTTAGACGTTGTGTTTCTTAATTTTTTGTTGGTCAAATCTGATTCGGTTTTTTCTGTCAAGTTTTTGTAGACTGGGCATTTGAGCCCAATCTTAATCAAAGACAACCATAACTGCTTCGTTACAGTTTTAGTAAATGTTGACATTTTAGTTTATTGATAGTCAACAGATTAGTTTAATTAGACTTTAATTTAGCAAGTTACTCTGAGGCGACTATAAAGCGGGGTTGTCCTTCAATCAGAGGATCGGTGGTTCGATTCCTAGCTAGTCCATGTCCATGTGTCCTTGGGCAAGACACTTAACCCCAAATGTGTGAATGTAGTATGAATGTTAGATAGATGATGAGCAGGTGGTACCTTGCATGGCCCCCTGTCATCAGTGTATGAATGGGTGTGAATGGGTGAATGATGACATGTCGTGTTAAAGCGCTTTCAGTGGACGGAAGATGAGAAATGTGCTGTAAAAGTATAGTCCATTTACTCAGAGTCCTCTTGACTGTGCTTCTTCTATATCTTAAAAAATAAAATAAAGTCTATCAGGTGTTCCTCAAAGCTGCAGGTACAATTCCATCAATCAGAGGCTTAGGTAGTAAAATCTATGTAGCCTGAGAGGTGAAAGCCAAGACAAAGAAAAAAGTCAGCAAATCACTCACTACTGCTTGTAAAGCTTAATAACTGTAAACTCATGATAACTCGTGAAAGCATCGACGCGATATTTTACCGAAACACATGGAGGAACCTAGCATCAAAGCCTCACAAGGTTATTTAAAGTTTAGGTTATGGTGAACTCCAGGTCATACGTTGTCAAATGACTGCATAATCTCCATAAAAAGATGTCAGCATATGAACGCAGAATCTGTAGGCACAGGACAAGATTAGTTTGTTCTGGTTTCTTTTTTCAATTCTTTTTATTTGAGTAGTAGTGAATCTAGTTTGAGCAGGCTTTGGTTGCTTGCAGGTGAACTGTGTGGAGATCCAAATAGGCAAATCGGATTTACTAAAATATAATCTCGGAACCTACTGGCTAACATCTAACAACGATTGAGCTTTCTATTAGCTTGGCTAATGGCTAGATAGACAGACAGATGCCTCTCAACTCAAGCCATTCTGGTTTTTCAAGTTGCTAATCGAACTGTAAATAATGATCGGCTGATCCGCTGGCTACACCCGAACTCTGGACATACTGACTGAGAGGCTGAATCTCCGTCTGATTGCCGATGGGTTCTGAGATTGCTGCAGTGAATAGAAAGGAATGGAGTTTTGATTTTTAGACCTTGTTTTCACTTTAGGTGACAACGTGACGATCCGCCTGCTGTGACGATGCCGCCTAAATGTAGCAAGACAGATGTCCTCACCAGAAACCAACAGCCATTTGTAGCCCTCCTATTCTTGAACACAAAAAATGTACAGGAAGTTAGACAAAAGCTGAAGCCAGTTGTCAAAACAAAACATTACATACGGAAATGTGTATACTGTATACAAGGTACATCAACAACCGTGTTTTAGGCAGGATTCTTCCCTTTAGTTTATTTCATGCTCTTTTCCTGAAACAGATGTGTCTCTCCCTGTCAGCCTCATCTTTTAAATGAGTTCTTCTCTCTGTGTTTTGTTTTTCAGGTAGAGGGATGGCACTGTCCTTTCTTCTCTTCTTCTCTGCCGTGTTGCCCTTACTCAGAGTGTCTGCCTATAATGCATCTGCCGGTAATGACTGTGCTGTCTTACACACTCTTATTTGTCTCTGACACAATGTATCCAGTTGTCTGTACAAAATGATTGTGGCTGCGACAGTACAATGGTACAGCTTTGTGAGCGTACTGTGTGCTGGCCTGATGTTTGTCTTTTGATGTGTGGTGTGCACACATGTTGATATGTGGAGGGTAAAAAAGGTTGGGAACCACTGTTTTGCACTGAATTTTATGAGCTCATATGATTATTTATGCAAAAACTTAAACAGAAAAGTAAACAGCTATTACAGCTGTCAGATGAATGATGAGATACATTTTGAGTCAAACATACAATATTTACTTTTGAATTGAATAGAAGTAGAAAGCAACATGCAGCGAAGACCGTTTTGAATGGCTACATTAGTTATACATCTAGGGTTCACAGAATTGTGCAGGTAAGAGCAAGGAACCACTAAGTGGATTATTCTGGATAGGTGCTGCTGGATCTGTATGCCTTTGTATGCATTCAGTTCTTCAGCCATGCCTCTGTCCCTTTTCCCTCTGTCATATCAGTCAGTCTCCGAGCATGAAATTGCTGCCACAGCTTGCACTGGACAAGCACCATTTCCACCTCTTACCGCCCAGCTTGGCAGGCAGGCCTAGCCCCACATTAAAAAACCAATCTGCAACCAATACGCATTGAATCCACTAATGAATATTTGCTGTAAACTTCTAGTGCTGATTATGTTGCTTTTATTCCTTAGCTCATGCTTTGACACTAATGCTCAGAGGCAGATGTCAGATCTCTGTAATACAGACATAAACCTGCCATCAGATTAGTAAACTGTCATTTCCTCTCTTTGCTGAGCGGTGGGGATGGTGGTGCGGGGGTGGATGGGGATGTTTGCTATGGGAGTCACGTCTAGTGGTCTTTCCTGGCCTCTATTGAGAAATGTGGGGACTGTTTAGTAATTAGGGTTTTACACTGTGGGTGAACCTGCGTGGAATGGCAGGCTCCAGATGTATTACCCCCAGGGAAGGCAAGGCAGTAAGCGATGGAAAGGATAATCTAATAGCGCAGAAAATACTTGTGGTGTTGTGTCAGTGAAACAGAGCTTTGCAGTAAACTGGCAGCAAATAAGGAACGCAACACACAGAGGAGGCTCCGAGGAGCTGCTTTCTTACCAGGACTGATTGATTTCATGTGCTTTATTGGATTACTGGAGGCCATATTGTGAAGTAAGGCATTGGGTGGTGCCTATCAAGGTCACTTCCCATCTACATCAAAGTTAGGCTGCCATCTTCATCAGTCTATTACCATTCTTCTGGCTTATTTCTCCCCCTCTGTGTGTCGTCTTGTTTCAGCCCGTCTGCCACACCAACCTGTTCTTATTATAAGGCTGGTCAGGTTGAGAATGCTGAGGGGTTATGTGGTGTTAGCAGTGTAGGTCTAATCTGTCTGTATCCATTCATTATATTAGTCACTTTAGATGATACGATAGCAGTGTGGTGGCTAGCACTGTGCTCACAGCAAGAGGGGCTGGACGACCCTTCTGTGTGGAGTTTGCATGTTCTCCCGTGTCAGCTACGTTTTCTCCTGGTTCTCCAGCTTCCTCCTACATTTCGAAGAAAAGGTTGCCCGTAGGTGTGAATGGTTGTCTGTCTCTGTTTCTCAGATAGTCTGGCAACCTGTCGGCTTCAGCCCCCCAATGACCCTGTACAGGATAAGCAGTTATCGATATTAGATGGAAGCATAATAATAATAATAATGTATTATTATATTTAATAATCCCAGAAAACTGCTTTGGAAAAAAAACACTCAAAATCTTCCAATCAAGGATACCAATAATACAAATTGAGTTAAAAATATTAAAACCATTACCCATATTTGCAGCATGCACATTTACATCAGTGCATAGCTAGTCATAGCTAGTTAAAGGTTAAAATAAAGTGATAAGTTATTAGCTTTCTTTTAAATATATTTAGCAACTGGCTTTCCTATATCCACACGTTGTGTGTTCTTTGGTGCGTACAGTGATTGACAAAGACTCTATGCAGATTTTCTTTCAGCAGTTGTTTGGAACCTCTAATATAGCAGCTTCAGATGATCGCAGTGTTCTTAAAGCCAAATAGTTAACAGGGTAACTACGGGGTTAGCGATATAGGTTGGTCCTAGCCCATTTAGGGCTTTGTATATAAGAAAGAGGATATTCAAATCAATTGTAAATGTGACAGGAAGCCAGTGCAGGGCAGCTAGAACTGGAGTAATGTTTTCCTCTTACCTCTTGGTTTTGGTTTGTATGCGAGCTGCAGAGTTTTGAATGAGCTGTCATTGGCTTTTTTTCTTTTTGAAAGGCCATTAAAATGTGCATTAGATTAATTGAGTTGCCTTGAAATAAAGGTATTAACACGTTTTTCAGCATCTTTTGACTTATAGGTCTAATTTAGCTATGTTTCTAAGATGGAAAAATTATGTATTATGTGTGACTTGTAACCTCAATAATTATCTAGGGAGTTAATTTCCCCATATCATTAAACAGCATTCCTCTTTTTGTTTTAGGGCTGACTAGTATTTCCATTTTGTCCTCATTTAACGTAAAAAAAATATTGCTCATCCATTTATTTATTGCCAAAAGATAGGTAGTAATGGAGTTTATAGCTGTATCATCATTTGGTTCAGTACAGATGTACAATTGCGTGTCATCCGCATGACTATGGAAACATACATTGTGCTTTCTAAACATGCCACCATGTGGCAGCATGTACAGTGAGAATAATAATGGCCCAAAGCCGCTCCTTTGTGCAACCCCAAAACAGTGGCCATGTTTCTCAGACACATGATCTCCAAGACTGTTGTAAAACTTTCTCCTTTTGATGTTTTGAACCAGTTTGACACTATCAGAAAGACCAACCGCCTTTCAAGAAGATTGATTAAGATATCATAGTCAACTGTATCAACACTGCACTTAGGTGTAAGAGGACAATAGTTGAGACCTCATGACCGTCTGATTCGTTTGAGGTGGCTGATCATTTTACTAAAAGCAGTTTCGGTGCTGTTCTTTAGGCTGACTGAAATTCCTCCAGGATATTATGTTCTTTTTAAAAGGAGTAAATTTGCACTGAAACTGTCTCTACAAGTATCTTACTAATGAATGGAAGGTTAGATATGGGTAGATATAGCTGGTCATCTAGGCTGGGTTTCTTTAATAAGTGTTTTACATCAGCTGTTTTCAAAAGACGGAAAGATGGAGCCCAGCTAGTTGCTCCGCCATCTCAGATTGACATTCTGGACCATAGCATCAGCCAAATGAATAATCTCATTCCGGGAGTTGAAACAGGCTGTGTGATGTTTCTAGCCACTGTGAGCTCTCGCCATGTGTGGCTGGGACTCAAATCCCTCCTGTGGAACGACCGAGATGACCTCTTCGTCAATGATTGGGCTATTGGGTTCAATGTCATCTGTCACTCAATGCTTTTAAACATCTGGAGGAGAAGCTGCCTTGCCACTTGCTCACCCTCAAAGGAAAAGTTGAGGAGAAGTGCAACAATGTGATGATGAGAAGGAGAGAACATCGGCGACCTGCCTATGTACAGTGGTAGGTGATGTGATGCGCCGATGGAGGATCAACACCCACAAACTGGTGCTGTATTATGCAGAAATGAGTGAGATGGTGACGCCCCAGCCCCAGCCCTTGACTGTCCCCAGTTCTGGGGGGCTTTGTCTTAGGAGTCGGTTACAATTGTACGCTGCCTAACCTGGGCCGTTCTCTCCTGGCTTGACTTCTGGGTCAGGCTTCTGAGAGCCGGGCTGTCTCTACAGGTGGTACAGACCATCCAGGTGGCAAGCAGTGATGTGTGCCTCCTCCCCACAGTGGGGAGTGCCATTGGTGCTCAAGGCTTTGGTGAAGGGTCCCTTTGTGCCTCTGGAACACTCTTCTCCAGCAGCTTAGCTGCTTGCACTGACCTCAGCAAAGAGAGTGTATGAATAACCTCCCTGTGGGTGTACCAGTTGGTTGCTGCTTCAAGTCTACCCATTCACCCATTCAAGTTAAGTGTCTTGCTCTGCCTGTGCAGTCCATGGACATGGACTTGCGGAGCCCGGGATCAAACTTCTGATCCGCTGTTTGAAGGACGACGAGTATATCACTGAGCCACAGTCCCTAGGCGGGAAGAGACCCTCCAACTAAGGTCAGTGCATATTCTACATGCAGCATCTCTTGGAGATGTCAGTCTCCCTTCAGGGTGTGCTCACTGGAATGCTACAGGACTGGTGAAAAGGGTAGGTGTGTATCGGTCTGTCTGTTTGACTCCTGCTGGGTCACTCATTAGCAGTGAATATCAGAAATCGCAATTAGAAGATGCTACCTTGTGCTTTAGATAATTATTGCAGTAATTCTTCATTATTTTTTACATTTTATGGACCAAACATTAGGTTGGGGTTGTTTTGTTGACTAAAGCTTGAAGCTGGGGTCAGGTTCAGATATTATTTCATAATATAACTTTGTTAAAACTTTGGCATCTCTGAATGTCTTTTGAACCAAAAATTCCCTTTTGTTGAGATTAGGCTGGCATCAAAGAACACAGTGATGGCCAGAAATAGGTGACTGGGATACTGAGATATTGTTAATGTTTAACCCTGTTGTTATTACTAAGTCTAGAATGTATACTGATGAGCGGCTTCATGTACATTATCTTTTAGTGAAGTAATTGTTATTTTTGAATATTTCCTTTCCTGATCTGCTTGCAAAGAGTGTAGCCAATGTGCTGCATTTGATTTACAGGAAAACAATCAAAATGGATGAAATAGAGCAATTTTACGGAGAGAGCCTTTCCTTTGTTAAAACATTATGACCTTTTTGAGGCAACTGATAAAAACTCCACTTGCTACACGCCAACTGTGGCTCAGTGGTTTGATCCCCGGCTCCACTAGTCCATGTCCATCATGTGTCCTTGGGCAAAACACTTAACCCCAAGTTGAGTCCTGATGGGCAGGTGGTACCTTGCATGGTAGCTCCTGCCATCAGTGTATGAATGGGT